TGCGTAAATCACCGACCAAATTGTTTTTCACTTCACACAGTCTTCTTTCCGTTCATCCAGGGATCAGTGCTATTAGGTTTTCTGAAAAACTACCAAGACATCGCACCATTACAGGTGATAATTGTAGTTGTGCAAACTTTTTACTGGAATACAAATAGCTATACCCAGTAGAACCAGAAAAAGACCTTTCCTCCATAGTTAACACCGCTTTCTGAGTGATAGGTTCAACTGAAATTTCGAACATCAGCAACTCAGTGCAGTGTCACCTGAGTCCATACAGTTTATGTCTCGTCTCCGTTGAACTCTTCGCAACCAACACTGGATTCAAAGCCAAAAATCATGGTCTCAGCCCTCTGCTATAACAACTTCTCCGTAAACTGAACAACATGACTCGTCATCTGTCTATTTTTATGTCCACTACGAACTGCGATTTGTACAGGTTTCAATCAGTTAGTCTTATCGTGAATATTCACTGAATGGAGGATAAGTGTCCAATGGCGTTTTAGTTTTTCACGCAAAATGGGGTGTGGCAATGACATTAACCAAAACAGAAAGCAATTTTCGAGAAATACACTCATTTTCAAATCAAGTTGGTTTTCACGAGAAACTCAACTGAATCTCTCGTTTATGATATTCTACAACCGAATGTGCTGCACACAGGCCCCCTCATGATTCAGCTGGCACGCTATTCGAGATATCGCAGTACATTTCCATAAAGTACGGCAATTTTATTTGAACACGAAATGCAATATTCCGTGGCAGGAGAAAAATAAGTTCTGGAAACACGAAAAACACATTTATAAATATCTGGTCAACTGGCCGATGAGTTAGAAAACGCAGGTGAGGAAATTTGTGCAATTCTGGAGGGCCTTGTTTTTTTAAACAGTACATTACAAAGACGAACTGATACCAAATTAAGACGATTCAGGAGATCTACAAACTTCAGGATGAAGCCCGAAATTCCGCACACTTTTAAGCACACTGAGTCATTCTTAGGTTTCTATTGTGACAACTTTATATTCTTCGCCCTTTTCACAAGAATTTTCTATGATTTTATGACCACCCTCGGACATCTTAACGACAATAACCACATCGTTAGTTTTGGCAAGCTAGGTTTTAACCACGTGCACCGCTTGAACTATCGCATAAGTCAACGTCTTCCATGGCTACTGTCAGAATGCTGCATGAGCACACTCCAGCCCATAGCCTGGAGAATTCACTCTGCCAAATTTCAACCTGCAAACCTACACATTTTATCGGTTAATACTGCGCGGAGTAATGTGATTGGCGGTGGTGTTCTCTTGCACACTTCATCTCTGTGCATCAAACCGATGGTTTTAGGACTGTTTTAAGGTATCGAAGCCTTCTACGGCGTAGTGCGAGACAGGCCTCGGTTGTCACATCACACCCTCGACTGTATTGGCAGACTCGTAAAGCTTACAAACGAAGTGATCAGATGTTTTTCAATGTTTTTCAATGTTTTCAGGTTAGTTTGCAAATGAGTGTATATTCGCTGATGTCGTGCAATTTGGTTTCAAGTAGATCATAAGGTTGACGGAAACCCGGGGACTGCGCCTACCTGATGAGCCCTAAAATGGGCGAAACCGGTCGTGGTCTGTCGACGAATTTTCAACAACCTTATGAATGGTACATTACACAGATGTTTTCCTGTTAGACCGAATCAAACTGGTTGTACAGTTTAGGTAAGCTGTGTCTCCTCGGTCGACATAATGGAATGGCTGTGTCGTTCCATCTTCGTACTGTAAGTCAGTATGCTGGCTTTTTGGCGTTAGATTGGTTTTTAAGTCTCTTGGGACTGCAGACAAACTGGATCGATGGGAACAGACAGCTGTGTATATGCAGCCGAACAAGATATAAGCACTACAAACTGTTTATTTTCCGCTGCGCACCATGGATGGTACCCATAAACTCCACGTAAAACAAAACACCCGGCTGTTCGTCCATCTCATATGAAGAAGAACAAATGTATACCTAAGTTGGAAATAAACACTCGTTGTGCGATAAAACGTCTGTCTGTTAAGTTATTACTGCTACGAACACCTGGATATATCCTCAGGAGCAAAGTTTCGAGGATAATGTCGAGGCAAATGTGTGATTTGAATATCATTATTGTTGTAGCACTTGTTCGGTGAAGAAATCAGAATGTAACACCTCATTTCCCAGAGAATGTTACTACAGAACTGCCACTAGTCATGAATACCACTATCGTTTATTTTTTAAGAACATAGCCACGGACATAAAAAGTAAATACAAGCAATGATTGTGGAAGGATTACAGGAGAATATTAGGTAAAAAGTGAGAAACGTCTTATTCGAAGTCATGCCATCAACAGTTCCAGTCAGACAAAATGAATCCCAACGTATGTCAGAATGTTTGGTATGGAATCACGTGTGTAAAGGCCAACAACCGAGGAAAGGACAAACAATGCTGAATGCTCTTCAAGGCGCGGTTAGCCCTAGCACAGTCAAGATTCCCATATCAAGTGTTCGTCATACTGGGTCTGGTGTGAGAATCAATGATAAGAATGTACAGGCAAGGCCATGTACCACGCATAAAATTGGATGAGGATAAGAGATGATCATCGGTTGGTGGACCAAAAAGTCAACATCACAACCAGTTGCACGCGGGGCTGAGATTAAGACGACGGAATATTCACCAGAACCATACTTCTGTTTCTCCTCATTCCACACGGTCACTTTACGCCCATCCGAGGCTATGGTGACGCCTATTACAGTTGCACGGCGATCTCGAACAGCGACTAGATCAGGTTTGATGAACGACGTTGAAGTAGGTGCTCTCAACTCCTCGAGGATGGTGTATCCCAGGCGACTGGGACGTTTTGCGAGTTCCCTTGCACCCAAATTATGCCGAGTACATCTAACATCATGCGCGATCAAACAGGACTGCACAATATGCACCAAACTCTCCGGTTGGCCACAGTTTCCACGACCATGACCATGCTGAGCGTTTCTAACTCTCGTCCTGAGAAGGTTACATCGAAGCTGGACACCGTGGATAAATATCTGAGGAAACACTCGTTCTGGAACTACAGGACATCAATTAGAAAGAGCGACCAACTCTTGTAGACCGCGACCGTCAACGCTGTTGTGCAGACTATCACCCCAAGCGGCCACCGACTCTTCCTTGGTGTTTATGCATGCACCATAGACTCGGATCGGAAGGCTGAGATCCCGAACAATCTTGGCAAATGCGGAATCGTTGACCAAATTGCGTGCACTCGGCACTAGGAGCTTCTCCATACGCGCTGTCCGTCACATAAGGATTTTTGCATTCAAACTTGGGATACCTAGTCCCCTATGTTGTTCACCAGCATAGATGTAGCTGATCAAGGTGTCCTTCGGTAGACGTAGCCAGCCAAGAATAAATTTCCTGATGTAATTGTCCAACCTTTTGAGCGTGTTTCAGTAAACTTGGCCGATCGCGAGCGAATATGTTAGCCTCGGTATCAGGTAGTTCCTCGTGATCCTCATTCTTTGATGCGGCTTCAACGGGGCACGCTTCACCTCAGTGAGCACTTTGAGCAGATGTGTCGGTGGTTGAAAAAGCCTTTCCCATTGAAAATAAAGAGGATGCCCAAATATGTTATGGTGTCTGTCGGACCCAGAAGAGTGATGATTTCCTTGGTGAATCGAAATGGTTTGACTGAGACTGCTGTCGCTCGATGTTTTCTGTCCCCACAAACCACTATCGCTTTCGTATTTCGTGCGTGCATCTTCATACCAGCTCTTCCTCACTCGACCACAGCAGCTTCAAGCTTCTCTTTAAGGCGAGCCTGACTTTTTGCACACACGATCCAGTCGTCAGCAAAGGCGAAACCATCTACTAGGGTACCATGGAACTGGTATTCCAGTTACAGCATCGAAAAACCAAGAAACTTGTCCATTGCCATCTTCTTGCCTCACACCTCTGTGGCAGTGAACCTCGGAACTGGGGAAAACTGCTACAGCATTCTCGTAGGACTGTGCGATGTATCGAACTAGAGGTGACGGTGCTCCAAATGCTTCGGCAGATCCGACGATTTTGTCATGCGAAACCGAATCAAACGCTTTCGATATATCAACAAACGCCAAGCCGAGGTTGGAAGCAATCACTGGAGAGTGACAGAGCAGAGTATGTAACAGCTAGGTAACTTCCAGACAACCGTCTCAATGCACAAATGCAAACTGGAGGGAGGGCAGTTACAAGCTCAGCAAGCGCTTTATGAAAGCATCGGACAACAATGGTTGACACGGAGATCGGTCTCAGTTGGTCCGATGAAGTCGGATTCGGGACCTTCGGAACTAGCGTAATATGGGTACGACATAGATGTGGGGGATAGTCCTAAATAACAAGAGTAAGGTGAAATACCCAGCGAGCGCGTTAGAATTGAACCGGCAGAGCATCCTGGGCGTGAGCTTGTCGAGGCCGACTTCCTCTCCTGTAATTGGCTCGATCAGACTCTAATCGGATGGTGCTACTGCGCGACTTGGCCGGCTATTCACATGTTTTGGAACTGAGAACACTTGTTTTCAATACTTTTCGGCGTCTATAGGTGGGCCGCAGCTATTTTTATATAAATCCTTCCATGAACTATCAACCACAGCAGACGCTGCATCTTCCTGTCTTTGGTGGTGTAGGGTCTGGATGGTAGCGTAGTTGGCTCGGTGAATCTGCTTTCCATTGACCGGGATCCAATGGGCTAACTTACGGCGGCGTCGGGATACAGCTCTCCAGGTGTATGGAAATGTCTTCGAGGCTTCGAGGCCCAGAAGCGACAGGATTTATTCCGGTGTCGTGATGCCAGATTTTAACCCTTGGGTAAATTCCAGAAGGTCAACACTAGCAAGCGAACTGAGAGCATCGGATTCCAAGAGAGACAGGGCGCAGTCCATGGTTTCGCTAAACCAGACGCTGTAGTCATCGGCTTCTGACGAGTACACCGCCATTTGGCAGATAGTTTGCTCAGATCCACCAGAAGATCATTCGTCCTGTTGTGCTTGCCAGTTAAGCACCCGTAACCTGGTTTTGATGCTGATAGCCGATCGATTAGGAAAATACCGCTCCAATCTCGTGAACACCATGGTTTGTGTGTCACAAGACGGATATAAATTGTTAGCCAGGCTCAAGAATGATCGTGACTCTTGCTGGGACCAGCGGACACCGGAATGCTTCACTCGGCCAAGCTTAGCTGCATTATGCTGGAGATTGTGCAGGCGATTTCGACTCAGGCCAATCTTCGTCGGAAGAAGGCGGGAACAATCAGCGCAAGCCAATAGGTCTCACCCAGACTGACGTCCGGGCTACCCAGTCGACACCAAGAGGAGTTGGTTCAACGGTCGCGATTACGCAGTATGTGAAACTTCAACCACATTCGACCACAAATTCCAACTACAAAGTTTGCACTATAAATCCCATCATACATTCTTATAGATGTCCTCGATGGTCGCATGTAATCAAAGTGAAGACGAAACAAAAGAAGGATCAACAAATTTCCGGGTAATTCTTTTTAGTTTTCCGTGTTTGCTTCTGAAACTGAAACTTTCATCCTTATTTTTTCCTCCAAAATGCTGAAAAATACTTGGCTTGGTTAGGCTGAGCTGCTGTCGTTCATGGCAGACAGCCCAATTTGTTGACCTTGATGATGTACACTACTTGATATTCCTACTATGAAGGGTTCCTGCTCGTGGTTGTTGTTGAACCTCGCCGCAATGGCTGCGAAAAGATTCATGTTTCTAGTCGTTCTAGTGGAAAACCACATAGTCTAACGAGGAAGGTGCCTTCCAGTCGAACTCTACCTCACCCAGCTTGTTATGGCACTATTGTTTCGTACGATCAGTCGAGGGGTATGGAACTTAAATATTATGAGATCATTTGTCCTGTTTTTTTCATACTGGGCACTAGTCGGACTAACTTAGTTCTAAATATTCATCATTCTGGCTTAAATAAGCTTTGTTTTGTCCTTCTGTGATAAATCTGGTTAGTCCATACCAAAGGAGAGAAGCACTTGATGCAAGCTTCAACGTTACAAGGGCTCATCAGCAGTGCGCAAGCTAGTACACTCTTAAGTCTGAGTTTTAATTTTATTCCACGTACGGACACAAGTCCGTACGTCCTGTCGAACACCCTTGCCTGTATTTCGGAAATTTTGTTTGTCGTGATACCATGATTCTCTAGTGTTCGTGGTCAGACCTTGTAGTCCACACAACCTGGCTATCATCATCAAAGACAGCAACATCAGTGTTGGCACTGATGCTTCACTGCCGTCACATAACCCAGTGTGTTTGTCGCCAACAGGGACAGGCCGTCATGTGGCGGAAGTCCTTAGATGAGGTCAAACCGAGTGATACAGCTTGTAGTCACAACTTTCCACGCAAACTTGATCGTGGACATGTGATTGTCCGGCCGGTTGATGCTTAGTTCATACACAGAGTGGACGTTAATTGAGGTCAGTTCTGGCAACGGCAGGGTGGATTAATACTGCATTTTTGCCACAATTCCGGAACAGGCGTTTGAATTTGATCCTGAAAAACTTGCTGACTTGGGTCACCCTATTGAGACTTACTCAGTCTTTAGACTGCCACCACTTGATGTGTTCAAATCATGATTGGTAATATAATGCCAGTTTCCATGTTGCCATCAGCTGTCATATAGTCCGCAGCGGATTTTCGGACTTCAGCCATCTCTCAAGTTAACATCTAAAAGTGCACACTAAGGATTGACAAGGGGACCTTTCCAAAGGAAGTTCGGGCTTTTTTTCCTAGTTGGTTTTGTAGTTGTACGTATTCGACCCTGAAAGTGAGGGATGTAGTAAATGGTTAACCAGCAGAGAAAAATAGTCTTCAAATTGGATGGTCACCCCATCTAATCGCGGCTATATTTTTTAGTTTATCTTTATCTGTGTCTGCAAAAAAGTCATGACAGCTAAAATTGTGTGGACCGGAGATTGCAGAACAGCAACTTACACAAAAAAGAACGTGTCTGACTGCCGCTCCTCTGGCTCAGACGTATACAGCACAGGTAGAGCCGATTAAGACACTGAGTAGGCAGCGGTTTGCAACTGACGGGTCAAGTGGGGCGGAAAAGTTTGTGTTCGTTAGTGCTCGATGTCTGTGCGCAAGGCTTGAGCCTTGTGGCACTCAAACAAGCTGCTGTGCAATATGCTTTACGTGAGGTCGTTGCGGCTGAACGGGACACCGACAAAGCTACAATGCAGCAGACCTTGCAAACTGGAACAGGTGTCAAACCATTCACTGGAGGAGCAAAACTTGACCTGTGGCGAGCGCTCAGGATCCAGATAAACTTGGTGGTGTGGTTACTGTCGACTTGAAAGCCTCCGAGAACGAGCCCCGTGGTCCTGACGCGGCAGGAGATACTAGCCACGCGACAGAGCACAACACCTGGAATCCGCTGAGCCAGCGAGTATTGCGTCAGCCATAAGTGAAGTCACCAACAGTCTTCACCCTGTCACCGTCTCTGGCCAATGCCGCCAAGTTTCTCCGAACACAGCGCTGGGTGCGGCTGATCCGTTGGACCGTTGTCGCGCCAAATATAAGCAACGGAACGTGGGCATCTGTGAGCCTAAGGCTGCACTATGCACTATGTTGCATCCCAAACGCAAGGACTCAACGGTGAAGACGTCTGCCGAGACGACCGACATATTTGGTTCGGGTCCTGTCACGTGCGCTCCCGTTCGGCTCGGTCATCCTTCTGACTCCACAATACAGAGTTTGCTATATGGAGAGGGGTTGGGTCTGGCATGTTGTGCGCGAGACACTAGTCGAATCCGCTCAACCAGACGCCATAAAATTCTTTCGAGAGGCTCTGGAGCTAGGAAAATCAGATTTTACTGGATCCACAACGCTGGCTTTTACTACGGAGTTTTAACAGCTTGATCAACTGACGCTCGTCACTTCACACAGCGCCATGACCTGAGGCAATTCAAGGCTACGCACGACTCACTGTGCGGGAAAAGTCTGGATCCGATATCGCTTGGATTAAACGACAAGAAACAGGCCAGATTCCAACCCACTCGGTCAAGGCCTTCATTCAATACAGCTGCGTCCAGTAAACCTCAACAGCGTCCACTACAATTTATCAAACGAAGAACTCGATAAATCCGCTTCCATTCGTGTAATTTGATCGTACCAAAGTGTCTCTGGTAGCCACTATACCTAACTTGTTTATTATTAGTGTTACTTGCCTTTTGACATTACTTGGAGTAAAAGTCAATAACATATAATAGCCTGGAGACACCGATCCTTTTGGAAAACAATGAATTATACCTTTTACATATTTGGCACCCTGACTGTAATTTCGACAATGACCCATGACCGTTTCCTCTGATGAGGGCTGAGACGTCATAAGGCTTTAAGTCGATTCTGTGCTTATAGCCTACGTACAAATTTCAGCCAAGAAGGGGAGGGGGTGACCAGGTTATTCCCCAGCTGATAAGAACTGCTGGGTCTTTTGTAATGTACTACTCATAAGGTTGCTGAAAATCCATCGACCTTATGAGTAGTACATTACAAATAAACATATATCGCGATATTTCAAATATCGTAGCGACTGAAACATGAGGCGACCTGGTGCAGCACATTCAGTTGCCTGAGAACATCATAAACGAGACATTCAGCTGGGTTCCAGGTGAGTCTCTCGAAAGAACCAAATTAGTGTGCAGATGAGTGTATATTCGCTAACTGCTGAGTTCTTCCTGAAACTCCTCTATGATGACAAATCGTGTAGCGGATAGTATATGGTGCTCGTTTCAGCTGATGCAGCCGGAGTTTTGAAACACGAGCTGTGTAAACAAAAACAGCTAATCCATACAATTCTCATGTTGTAACCCTAGTAAAAACAAAAAACAAGGCTTATTCTCCCACTGTTTACGTATGGTGTTTGGTCAGTGTATTCGAAGGTCTTTGTTGTGACCCGTGTTTGGAAGATCTTGTGCTTTGAAGGTCATCAGCTTATGTTTGTCCCCTTCGATCTAATCAAAGCTGTTTGTTTTACGTTACCATGCCAACTGTGGCTATGTTTCGACAACCGACTTCGATTCACGTGCAGATGCTGGGACTATGCAATTTTCTGAGGTGGTTTTTCAAGAAGAAAATTCTCTAGAGACTCAGATTTATGAAGTTTTCGAGGAGAAAAATAATCGGAAAACACCAGAGTAACCGAGAAAACGAAACGTCAACACGAGATGATCTTATAACTTCGTCGTATCCATGGTGAGAAGCATGGCTTGTTCCAAAGAAATAGTGTTGGCAGTGTGTTAAAATATTGGTCGCCCAGGGTGCATTCACTGGTAACTGATCAGGTGGCTGCTGGTCAGTTCACAGAGCTTGTTAAGTAACCTGCAGAACATCACAAACGAGAGATTCAGCTGGGGTCCAGGTGAGTCTCTCGAAAAACCAAATTAGTTTGCAAATGAGTGCATATTCGCTAACTTGCAGATGGTTCGCCGCCTTTCGAAGAGACATCACCAGTGCACTTTTGGGTGAGTAGTTTCTCTCTTCATACTTGCGCGAATCATATTAGCGCAAACACAAACAGTTGAACTACCCACCCAACAACCTACTGTTGATGTCTTCTCGAAAGGTAACGAAACGTCTGCAAGTCAACTGCCAAGCTCGGCAAAAAGATCAACAGCCACCTGATCAACTACCAAAGGAAAATGCATCGAACACTTACCTTGGCTGATATAATTTTGTCTCTATGTGATGATTGGAATATTTTTACAAAGTTGGAGCTGGATTGTCACAATTTTGTCTCTAGTTGAACAGTGATCTGGTCTACTCAGCATATGAGCCGTCAGTCAGTATCTGGATACCGTAGAAATGATCAGTTGATCATATATCCAGACACAAGTTGAACGATGAATGCTGTTCGTCTGATGGAGCGAATGAATACGACCTCTCCAGCTCCGAGCGATATTGTCCCTTAGCAACCCTAGACTGAACAAAATAAATATTCATCCTGAATCTTAGTTGGATAGATAATCTTCTACTTTGGATACAATCCAGGTAAAAGGCTGTCAGAATGAATATTTAGCTACTTGATTGTCGAAGATCAAATCACCATTCGAGAAGCAGTAGATAAAGCTTTTTAGTGAGATCTGAAAATATAAATCTATGGTCCCATTGTCTAACAACTAAGTAATGGCTTATCTGGCCAAATCTAAAGTCCAGAGAGAATGATTAATACTCAAGCATTTAGCACTGTCTCACATGTGATAAACTTAAGCGATTAGTTGCCATGTCACACAAATGAGTGGGAGACTGGCGTAAGCAGGAACTAGGATTGTAGCCGGCAGCCTTTAGAACCTCAGCAGACTTTTCTAGGCCACGTTTGGGCTTCTAAACCCTGAAAGTAGCATAGTGAAAGTACAACACAAACGTGTAAAGTTCTGGTCGGATTAGTTCAGGTAAAGTAGTACTAAGCCCTTTGGTTTAGTTCAGTAAATACCACTTTCCAGCTGTTGAGGTCAGCCAAAAGACCGATTTATCGACTTCCAGAGAGGTGGTGAGAAAACTTATCTTTGTCAGTTTAGTAAATGGGTATATGCTGAGCTTTTTCAACTAGATGCGGACTTCCTAGCTTAATTGGGTCCACCCTAACGTCCTGAAGGTTAGACGTGACCCCGGTTAACTTCGTATCTGTAAACGGTCTTGCTGGTTCACTGTGTAAAATGGGACGCACGACTCATCCCCATATGCAAGATGTGTTATGGCAAAGGATGCCCAAGAAAGCTTAGAAAGGTTTCTGAGCCGAGTTAAGAGAAACTTTTTACCCACCTGCGTTTTAAATATTCTTGAATGTTGGTGTTACAAGTGGATTTATGACAGGTAGGTTTTTACAGGGAGACAGTAAAACCGAGGGAACCAACCACACTGCACTACACAGAAGAAAATAGAGTGTGCTGCCGGAGCGGGAGATGGCAGTCGCAATTAGGTGCAGCCGTAAACAAGTGTCAAACTGTCACGCTTAATTTGAGAAACAGGAGAAAATGAGTCCTCTTCATAGCTTACAGGCTGTCCACTAACCGATAAGAAACGATCAACTCTGTCGTACTAGCTCGCACTTGTGTGGTAAGTCTGTCTGTACACTGATTTTCGTCGGATGCCTGCAGATGATAGAGGCTGATCCTATGCTTTCCCTAGTTTATTCGTTGTTCATAATGTCATGATGTCACATTGTTGAAAAATGACGAACAATCGTATATGACCATGACGTAATCCAAAGAGATTTTGTGCAATATCGTCAAGCGTACGGTTTTGGCTCCAGCAGGGACTTTACGTGTGTCAGAGGATGTACCCGTCAACGAAAGGCCTTGGAGTTCACGTTAAAAGTTCATCTGGTTGTCTGACGTGTATATTCTAGTTAAACTGCATGAGCTGTGTGTGAATTAAGTTCCGCACATATATTAGTGTAACCAGACTAACTAGGAATTCAGAATTAAGCGCAGCGTAACAAGTAGCACGTATGTATTCGAATTGCCGTATAAGTACAGTATATGGAATATTAAAACAAGAGAATTATGGATAGGGCGGTGAATAGAGCTCAATAATGTTCATCACAAGCTGTTTGCGTTAAAATGTGCTACTCATAGGAAACAAAAAATGCCATCTAGGACACCCTTTTTCTCCCTCAGTCAGTCTCAGTCACCTTTGAACACAGGAAGCCTGGGTCGAAATTCACGGTGGATCGACTGACTGACTGCATTCGTGGATCCCATAGGTTCGAATCATGAAAAGTAAGCTAACGTGTGTGACACTTTTAAGAATTCACAAACTTCTGTCAAAGACAGAAGAAATCTGTGCCTTGAGAGCGCCGGAAACCTTTGTTCCCCGGAAATGAACTATGTATGCCACTCAACGAAAACCTATCGACTTTTAAGAATTCACAAACTTCTGTCAAAAACAGAAGAAATCTGTGCCTTGAGAGCTCCAGAAACCTTTGTTCCCCGGAAATGAACTATATATGCCACTCAACGAACTCGGCAACCACTAGTATGAACCAAGAGTTGAGGTGCACGTTTCATTAGGAGCTCAGGCGGCTTTCAGAGTGGGAAACTTGCGTGACAAATCCATTCCAGTCAGCGTGTACTCATGAACCACAGTGATTCGGTTGAAAAGATTTAACATAAGAAACTTAGTTGACGTGCTTGAGATCAGCGCCACAGGTGAGTACGTTCCAAACCAGTTATTCCAATCAGGTATGCTGTTTAATTGTTACTCATGCTGGTGAGGTGAACTGTTCATGTTTTACGTAAACCTTACGTTATTAGCCTTTCAACTACACAACGTTGCGATGCACATTGAATTCTTCAATGAATCACTGTCATGCATTGCGTTTGTTGTTCACTGATCTACTAATTAACATTCCGGTGACATTCATGTCTTAAGACACCGCTGCTTCCAAAAGCAGTGTGATAGAATAATCTTGCTCATATAATGGCCCCGGCATTCGGTCTGGCGCCAAAAACTTGTGGATAAACCGCATGGCAGTAAGCGGTCGTGGCACTGAATTTCGGCGCGCACGTAACGAATGATGTAAGCAGTTACGGAGCACCCTGGTTTTAAATCGTACACATTACCATATCCCCACCCAACATATCCCACCCCAACATCTGTTGTGGATTGTGGTAACCTCGAGACTTTCAAACATTCGCTTGACGAATACATAAGATCTCACCCAACTTCCCTTATCAACATTTGAGATGCAGATTACAAACAATAGAACATATATGTCATATCATTCCGTTTATCTGTATACATACACACACACACAC